AGCTCTAAGCTCTTTTGAGTGTTTTTAAAAGAAGATTTTATGTTTTTTACTATATACTGTATAACTGGTTAATTTAATGACGTGGAAATATTTTGCGATTTTTGCGAATTGAAATTATTCGCAAATAATTGATCACGCAAATATTATTTCTTTTTAGGAAAACTTTCCCCTATCATTTGAAAAAACGTTTTCATACAGCATCTTACATGCAAAGTTTGACTGGTTTTCATATAATAACAAAAGAATGTTTCAAAATATGACAAAGAAATGTGTGACCAGGTCCTTTATGAAACTAACAATGTATATTTCAAACAATTATATAAATAATAAAGGTATGTATTAAATTACTCAATAGAACAATTGCATTAACAGCATTTCGTATCACGTACCTGGTTAATTTATGATACAGTTTTAAATTCAAGAAATCATATTTTCGCAAATATTTCCGCACACAAAAGTCCACTTTTTGACATTTGCAAAATTTTTGTGACGCAAAAATAACCACTTATACAGTACATAATTTTATAAGTAAAATCAATGACCCCCGGGACGGGGCCAATTTTGACCTAAGGGCTTTTATTTCAACAAACTTGGTAGACACTCACTAGAAGATGTTTCATGCTTAATATCTAAGCTCTTGCTCTTTGGGGTTTTTTTAAAAGAAGATTTTTCAAGTTTTTACTATATACATAAAAGGAAAATTAATGACCCCCTGGGGTAGGGCCAATTTCAACACCAGCGCTTTTATTTGAACAGACTTTGTAGCCACTCACTAGAAGATGTTTCATGCCACATATCTAAGCTCTAGCTCCTTGGGTTTTGTAAGTTTTTTTCAAATTGTTGCCATGGCAACCAGGTCCCGTGTTCACAAACATTTAAGGATCAGTATCAAGATCAGGATCAAATTTAAAAACTCTAGTATTCTTTATTGTTCATCCTCATAGATTAAATATCTAATATCAATTTGATAGAACTGGACTTGCAATAGCAAGTTCATGAAATTTTAGAATAAATTTATTGTTATTTTTTGCAAGATACAGGCAATATACAGTTAATCTAAATTTTGATCCTAATCCTAAAATTGATCCTTAAATTTAGTTATTTGTTTTGTTATTTGTTGATTTTATCCAAAAATAGTTTGGTTTCTTTGCAAATCAGGAATTTTTTACATTTTGAATATCTATCATTAAATTTTAGCAAAACACGATTAATTTTAGTACTATAAAACAATGAAAATAAAATCAGGATCACTTGATCCTGATCCTGATCTTTTCTTAGTGAACATAGGGCCAGAGTTTCAAAGGTGACCACCAAAGGAACATTCCTGTGAAGTTTGGATGAAATTGGCTTAGAGATTTATGAGGAGATGATGTTTAAAGTTAAAGTTTACAGACAGACGACAGATGGAAGCCAGTAAAGTTGTGATCACATAAGCTTACCTTGTCAATTTGTGACAGGTGAGCTTAAAACCAAGGGCCAATTTGACCAAAATGTTTCATTTCCAGATAAATTTTTTGAGGACAACAAGATGATGTTACATCAAAATATGTAATCTTTATGTAGTGTTGTTTCTGACGAGAAGTTTTTTCAAGATTTTATTTTTAAAAGTTTATTATGACCTACTTGTGCATCACTCCATCAGACTTGAAAGTCTTAAAAGTTTTGAAGAGTGTAACCAAAGCATCATTCCTGTGATTTGGTCAAAATCAATCAAATAGTTGAGGAGGAGATGGTTTTTAAAAATGTGGATTACGATGTATGATACTCAACAGACATCATGCTATCAGAAAAGATCATCTGTGAGCACATGAGTTACAAAATCAAAGAACTTACCATTCACGTTGCTTACTACATTGATATGTTGTTCTTTGCTTTGAAAAGACTGTGGCTAAAATAAAATGAACAAGAACATGTTTGTTAAACACAAATGGCCCGGCTCAGATTCTTCTTAGTTACAATATTTCAAACAAGAGGGTCATGATGGCCCTGAAATCACCCACCTGAATATAGAAACTCTCTATGACAGGTACATGTAATATTGTAAACTATAAACTAGAAATGTGTCCATAGGACACGGATGCCCCCACACGCCACTGTTCTGTCAATGTCAAATATTTTTTGGACTACATGTGCCACAAGTTGAAAACTAAAAATCAACAAAGGGCCATAATTCTGTTAAATTTGGTCGCAGCAAAAATTCCTTCCTTTACTACCATCTACAGATTAAGGTTGTTAATCCCTGGAAGTTTAAGCAAAATCTGCCATCTGGTTTAAGAGGAGTTGCGTTCACAAAATTTCTACATAGTATATAATGAAAAAATCAACAAAGGGCCATAATTCTGTTAAATTTGGTTGCAGCAAAAATTCCTTACTTTACTGCCATCTACACATTAAGGTTGTTCATCCCTGGAAGTTTAAGCATAATCTGCCATCCGGTTTAAGAGGAGTTGCATTCACAAAATTTCTACATAGTATATAGTGAAAAAATCAACAAAGGGCCATAATTCTGTAAAATTTGGTCGCAGCAAAAATTCCTTCCTTTACTGCCATCTACACCTAAAGGTTGTTCATCCCTGTAAGTTTAAGCAAAATCTGCCATCCGGTTTAAGAGGAGTTGCGTTCACAAAATTTCTACATAGTATATAGTGAAAAAATCAACAAAGAGCCATAATTCTGTTTAATTTGGTCACAGCAAAAATTCCTTCCTTTACTACCATCTACACATTAAGGTTGTTCATCCCTGGAAGTTTAAGCAAAATCTGCCATCCGGTTTAAGAGGAGTTGCGTTCACAAAATTTCTACATAGTATCTAGTGAAAAAATCAACAAAGGGCCATAATTCTGTTAAATTTGGTCGCAGCGAAAATTCCTTCCTATACTACCATCTACACATTAAGGTTGTTCATCCCTGTAAGTTTAAGCAAAATCTGCCATCCTGTTTAAGGTAGTACACCCCTAATGCACTTTATCCACTTTGAAGAGTATTCAAACAGGCTTAAATCACTGTAAAGTGTATTGAAACTGAGGGGGCGTGGGTTCAAGCCCCATAATGGGCAATTTTTTTTCTTTCTTTTTTTTTCTTTTTAACATTTTTTATTAATCTCTCAGACCCCCTATGGAAGAAAAAAGTGTTTTATTTTAATTATATAATTATTGTAGGTATTTATTTACTAAATAATGTTAAATTTAATAGCAAATATGATACCAGATATTTTCAAAGTTTAATAAAATAAAAACTAAACGGTAAAAGTATTTTATATTTTGCAAGACTAACCAATATACATTAAAGAAAATTTAGGCAAACTTTGAAAATAGCCCCTCATTTTGGAAAATTTTAGGGATATTTTAAATAAGGCTTTTTACATAGGGAAATGGTCAAATTAGTGTTAAAAGTGGGTGGGGTAGGGTTACATTTTTATACATATTAAAAACATTTTGTTTAAAAACAATAATTTTGCTTGTTTAATTTGTTACCTATATGTCATTGTTTATTTCTTAACAATGAGCAAAAGAAAAACATTTTTCATAATGATGATATTATAGATTATTTAGAGTTTCCTCATTTCTGAAAAAATCCCTTCTAATGGCAAAGTTTTAGTTCATAAAAATGTCCATAACTCATAAACCACACGGTAAATGTTGTTTAAATTTTGCAAACAGGTGACATTTAAGGCATATAACTGTCCTATGTTGTCAAATTTACAATTCCTTATAGTGCCCATTAGGGGTGTACTACCTTAAGAGGAGTTGCGTTCACAAGATTTCGGGCCATTTTGTGCAGCAAAGAGGAACATGCTGGCGATATGCACAACTAGGGATAATATTCGTGACTCCTGTAAACTTTGGTTGAAATCCAAACAGTAGTTTGTTTAACCTGAGAAAGCCAGACAAGATTTTTCTATTTTTAGCTCTGGCAATCATTTTGTGCATCAAAAAGGAACAAGCCGGTGTTGTGCACAACTAAGGATGGTACTGACCACTCCTGTAAAGTTTGGTTGAAATCCCACCAGCAGTTTGACCTGTGAAGGCCGGACAAGATTTTTCTATTTTTAGCTCTGGCAGCAATTTAGTGCAGCGAAGCAAGACGTGCAGGTGAGGTGCATAACTAGGGATGGTACTGATCACTCCTGTAAAGATTGGCTGAAATCCCAACAGTAGTTAAACCTGTGAAGGCCGGACAAGATTTTTCTATTTTTAGCTCTGGCAGCAATTTAGTGCAGCGAAGCAAGACGTGCAGGTGAGGTGCATAACTAGGGATGGTACTGATCACTCCTGTAAAGATTGGCTGAAATCCCAACAGTAGTTAAACCTGTGAAGGCCAGACAAGATTTTTCTATAATTAGCTCTGGTGGCCATTTTGTGCACAGCTAGGGATGGTACTTATCTCTCCTGTAGAGTTTGGTTCAAATCCAACCAGTAGTTTGACATGTGAAGGCCGGCAAGCTTAATGTTGATGGATGGACAACCAGACAGATGAAGGGAAGGACAGAGAGATGCCGAAGGAAAAAACAATATGTCTCCCAAACATTTTAGGAGACATAATTACTGAGACAAGCATCCTGTAGTTTGATGACGAGTCAAAAATGTGACCACTAGAGTGTTAACAATTTTTTTCCATATTTGGGTGGTGTGACCTAGTTTTGACCCCAGGTGACCCATACTCGAACTTGACCTAGAAATCATCTAAACAAACTTTCAGACCAATTTCCAGGATATTTGGATCAATACAGTAGCCATTAGAGTGTTAACAAGATTTTTCTATTTTTTAGCTCCTGTGACCTAGTTTTTCAGCAGGAATGATAAATGTTCAATCTTGTCTTAGCATTTATCTAGACAAGCATCCTGACCAAGTTTGATGATGATTGAGGCAAAAATGTGTCCCCTAGAGTGTTTAAAAGATTTTTCCATATTATGGCAGTGTGACCTAGTTTTTGACCCCAGGTGACACACATTCAATCTTGACCTTTAACTCATCAAAACAAACTTTCAGACCAATTTCAAGGATAACTTTCAGACCATTTTCAAGGATACTAAGATCAATACAGTTTCCACTAGAGTGTTAACAAGTTTTTTTCTATTTTTAGCTCCTGTGACCTAGTTTTTCATCTGAGATGACCCATGTTCGAACTCATTCAAGCAATTACCTAGGCAAGCATCCTGACAAAGTTTGATGATGATTGAGGCAAAAATGTGATCACTAGAGTGTTAACAAACAAATGTGGACGGATGAAGGACGACAGACAACGGACATTCATTGATCCTAAAAGCTCACCCTGAGCTAGATCAGGTGAGCTAAAAAAGCAGATATAAAATTTAGATCTTAAATTGAGATCACAAAGTTCATATTTGTATCTGAAATAGAAGATTTTTCATGCTTAATATCTAAGCTCCAACTCTTTAGGCTTTTTAAAAAAAGATCTTTTAAGTTTTTACTATAAACATATGGAAAATCAATGCAACCTCGGGACGGGGCAAATTTTGACCCCAGGGCTTTTATTTGAACACACTTGATAGACACCCACTAGAAGATGTTTCATGCTTATTATCTATGCTCAAGCTATTTGGATTTTTAAAGAAGATTTTTTTTGTTTTTTCTTTTTACATATTAGGAAAATTAACGACTACCTGGGGCGGGGCCAATTTTGATTCATACAATCTTGATAAAGCTCCAAGAGACAACAATTTTACTATTCAGAAAAAAATATTTTTACTTTCTGCTTTTACATAATGACATTCAATGAATCCCCAAGCGGGATTAATTTTCATTAGTTTTCACTATAAACATATCAGGAAAACTTATTACCCCCTGGGACGGGACCAATTTTGACACTAGGGGCAAAATTTTAACAACTTTGGCAAATGACAAATATCTGATATTAATACCAACTATCAAAGGTCTAAGCCTTGTACATTTAGACAAGAAGATATTTTAAGTTTTTACTATATGTACATATTGAAAATAAATAACCACTGTGGCAGGGCCAATTTTGACCCCAGGGCTTTAAATTGGACAATCTTGGTAGAAGTTCACTACACAATGTTTCATGCAAAACAACTACCCTCTAACCAAAGTCAATTCAGAGAAGAAGATTTTTTAAGTTTTTTTATTTACTATATACATATAAGGAAAATCTATGACCCAGTCAAGGGGGGGGGGGGCAATTTTAACACTAAGGGCAGAATTTGAACAGCTTTGGTAGAGGACCTATAGATGATTTTATATACCATATAACAAAAATCTTAGCCACCTACATTCAGACAAGTTTTTCCAATTCATACATAATGAAAATCAATGACCCCTGGGTGGGGCCAATTTTGACCCCGGGTTTAATTTAAAAAAAATCTTTGTAAAGGTCCACTACACAATATTTCATGCCAAATATCTAACTTATACCCTTTGCAAATTTAGAGAAGTTTTTTTACTATATACATATGAGAAAAAGCTAAGACCCTCGGGGCGGGGCCAATTTTGACAATAAGGACAAATTTTGAACATCTTTGGTAGAGGACCTACAGATGATATCATATACCAAATATCAAAGCTCTAGGCATTGTACTTTCAGACAAGAAAGTGTTTCACATTTGCATTTTAGAAACTCCTTTTCTGACCTACTTATGCAACAGACCTGAACCATTTGAACAACTTTGAAACTTTGGATCATTCCTTTAAAGTTTGGTTATGTCAGTCATTTAAAGAAGATGCACTAGCATGCACAACGAACGGTGGGGTATCACAATAGCTCATCATGAGAACATAAAATGTGCTCAAGTGAGCTAAAAATAGCTTTCAAATAAAGACCCTGGTCTTACAACTTCACCTTGTCATGATAAACAAGTTTTTCTGCTAATACCTTTATAAGTTTTAAGTTTTTGCATGAAGACAATGACCCAGCAATCAGTTATACATGTAGATGGATTTTTTCTTTAAAACAGCTGACAAGCTTAAACTAAAAGAATATAACAACATGATCTGTCAGATGGACAGTGTGCTCAACTATTCTCACTGCTTGACAGTAAAATTAGATCCTTGATAATGTTGCAATTTTCTAAATTTGACAAAGAGGATTCCCTAAAATTATATTCCAGTTTTAAGGGTCCTGTACCCTACTTTTTTTTAATAAACATTTAATAGGACAGATATGACAAAGCATTAAAAATTTCCAATGAGTCTATTAAATTCATTCTTTGCTTCAGAATGATACATTTAAATGACATCAAATTGACACTAGTAGTATTATTTGAACATTTTGGTTCAACAAATTTCCTAAATCATGAAGACTGGCAAAAGTTTTCTAAGACTTAACTGACAGCATATATTCTAACAATCTCTGCAAAAGGTTACCTGTGGTTTGCCATCATCATACTTCTCACTCCAAACTGGTTTTTCCTCACTTGGTCCCATGCTTAAATAGACAGTTAATATTAGCTATATTTGAATGGATATAGGAAGTTATTATTTCATACATTTAAAACCGGTATCAGCAATTAATTATTCCAAAATTTCACATTTTTCGTGAGATTTCACTAGACAATATGTTCTGCCATCTTGAATTTGCAAAGAAAAAAGGATTTAAAAATTAATGACTATAATTAAAGTTATCATAAACAAATACAGTAAACTCCGCTTATAACCAACTCATTGGGACATTTAAAATATGTTCCTTATTTCCGGAGTTCCTTGTAAGCATATAGCGAATTAGTTCCTTGTATCAGGAGTTTTATAGCGAACATATTTACATATAACGAACTGATTGTTTACCATTGTCCTCAATTTTAAAAGGCATTTCTTTAAGAAAAATTAGTCGTTTATTTCTTTTTTAGACAGAGAGCGTACTTTTTGGAATTTGAAAATCTTTTCCTATTTTAGTTTTAGTTTTACTCCCTTTCTCAATTTCTCATAAAATACAATATTTTGTTTCGAAATTCAGTGCTTTTTGTTGTTTTTTCCATGATTAAGAAAAACAAGATTTTCGATTTTTCCTTCCTTTTATATTGAATATCTTCTATTATATTTTAAGGGTGATTTTTACTTGTAAAAGATATAGATTTCTTTTCATTTCAATCAATCGTACTTTGTAGTTTTCAAAGGATTAGCAAGGAATAGCATGCGTGATTATGTTGAAAACTGATTATAAACTATAACTACCGCTGAATGCGATTTATACCCCCACCAATGTCCTTGACAGAAGACGACTTGGAAAGCTGGTTAAGGGAATAACTTTAGTGGCACAAATACATATACATAAAAAGAAATTATCTCTGGTGAAAAAAAGACAAATTGTACTGGTAATAGTATAAATATATATTGTCAAATCATGTTCGAAACAGTTACAAATAACCTTTCATTTTCCCAATGTACTAAAACAAACAACAGAAGTGAAGTTAAGAAAATAGCATGATTATGTCAAAATATAATTAAGAGTGGAAAAACTTTGCATACTGAGCTTACTTGTGACCCTTCATATATAATATAGTTTCAAGTGAATATCTGTTCTAGTTTCAGAAACATTTAAGTATTAATGGTTATATCAGAACGTTTTCTAAGCCTAAAAGGGGCATAACTTGTGTCATAATTCAATGGAATTGTAGAATTTTCGTCATCTGAGCTTGCTTGTAACCATTCATATAAATTTTAAGTTTCAAGTTAATATCTGTTCTGGTTTAAGAAATATTATAGTAAATAAATTTAAAGACATAAAAATAAACTTAACTTTGTCAAAATACAATACAAAGTATCCCCCCCACTCTTTTTAGTTATGAAACTTGACCTGCATATCTTACTTGCGACACTTCGTATATATTTGAAATTTCAAATGATTATCTGTTCTAGTTTTAGAAATATTCAAGTACATGTAAAATTTCAGAAGACTTGTCCAAAGGACACGGATGCCCCCACTGACAACATGTATATGGTATATAGTGAAAAAATCAACAAAGGGCCATAATTCTGTTAAATTTGGTCACAGCCATAATTCCTTCCTTTACTTCCATCTACACATTAAGGTTGTTCATCCCTGGAAGTTTAAGCAAAATCTGCCATCCGGTTTAAGAGGAGTTGCGTTCACAAAATTTTTATATGGTATATAGTGAAAAAATCAACAAAAGGCCATAATTCTGTTAAATTTGGTCGCAGCAAAAATTCCTCCCTTTACTTCCATCTACACATTAAGGTTGTTCATCCCTGAAAATTTAAGCAAAATCTGTCATCCGGTTTGAGAGGAAGGTTTCAGGACGTACGGACGGACAGACGTACGAACGGACGGACAGACGGACGGACAAGTGCAATGCTATATGCTCCCCTCTTTGTGGTGGCATAAAAAGGGGCATAACTTTGTCAAAATGCAATACAGAGTTATGAAACTTGACCTGCATATCTAAATTGTGACACCTCATATATATTTTATGTTTCAAGCAAATACCTTTTCTAGTTTCAGAAATATTCAAATACATGTTAAAATTTAAGAATATTTTCTAAGTCAATTTTTTACCTTCAAGTGTGACCTTGACCTTAAGCCGACAAAAGGGTGACATGAATTCTGCACATAACCTTGTTGAGGTGAAAATTGGAGCCAAGATTGAAGAAAATCTTTCAATTGGTGTAGGACTTACAAAGCGACACGACATACTGTCTAATATATGATTGTTTGATATTTGACCTTCAATTGTGACTTTGACCTGACACATGGGCAACATGGGTCACGAAAATGGAGACGGACGGATGGACCGACTGACCGACAGACGAAACAAAGCAAATCCATTATAGCCCCCCCTTACCCCCTTACATTTTGTGGTGGGGGTATAATGGTCATAATTATTTCACTTGAGCAAAACTATTTTAGACAAGAGCCCGGTTTGAGCCGGGTGATGCTCCCCGAATAGGTTTTGGACACAGGAAAGTACACCTCTTGTAGTTTCAGAGTTATGTCCCTGGAAAAAGTTCAAAGTGCAATAATTCCAAAATTAGGCAAGGCAAATTTACTGTTCTTTGCACTGCACTTCTAATCAATGTGATCTATCAACCTACAAAGTTTCTTGATGATATCTCTTATGATTTCCGAGTTATGTCCCGGACAACTTCAAAAAGTAAAAATAAACAAAGGGCAACAACTCCAGAATTAGGCAAGGCAGAGTTATGATTCTTGTGCACTGCACATCTACCCATTGAGATATATCTACCTACAAAGTTTCATGTTGACATCTCTTATAGTTTTACAGCTATGTCCTTGACAAGATTTTTCTAAAAGGGGAGATAATTAAAAAATGAGGCTTAACAGAGTTATGGTTCTTTTGCACTGCACCTTTATTCAATGAGATCTATCTACCTACAATGTTTCATCTTGATATCTCTTATAGTTTTAGAGTTATGTTCCGCAACAAAGTTCAAAGTGTATGGTACTGACCTTTGAAAGCCTGACAAGATTTTTTATTTACAGCTCTGACGGCCATTTTGTGCAGCAAGGCAGAACATGCTGGCGATATGCACAACTAGGGATCGTAGTGATCATTCCTGTAAAGTTTCATTTAAATCCTGACAGCAGTTCAACCTGTGAAAGCAGGACAAGATTTTTCTATTCATAGCTCTGCCTGTCACTTTGTGCAGTGAAGCAGAATGTGCCTGCCATATGCACATCTAGGGATTGCATTGATTACACGTGTGTAGTTTCACTAAAATCCCACCAGCAGTTCAACCTGTAAAAGCCGGACAAGATTTTTCTATTTTTAGCTCTGGCTGCCATTTCATGCATTAGAGTGGAATGTGCTGGTGATATGTACAATTAGGGATAGTACTGATCACTTCTGTGAAGTTTCAATGAAATCCAGCCAGCAGTTTGACCTGTGAAAGACGGACAAGATTTTTCTAAATATAGATCTGGCGGCAATTTTGTGCAGTGAAGCGTAACATGCTGGCGAAATGAACAACTAGGGATGGTACTGATCATTCCTGTGAAGTTTCATTTAAAACCTGGCAGCAGTTCAACCAGTGTGAAAACTGGACAAGATTTTTCTATTTATAGGAACATGTTGGCGATATGCTCAACTAGGGATGGTACTGATAACTCATGTGAAGTTTCATTGGTCAGCAATTTGACCTGTGCAAGCCGGACAAGCTGAATGTGGACGGACAGATGGACAGCAAAGGCAAAAGCAATCTGTCTCCCAAAAATTTTGGAAGACATAATAATAACAACGGGGCCATTGGCCCCAAAATGCTCACCTGAAGACATACTGTTATTAGTGTAAGGGTCATTTTAAAAATAGCGGCAAACTTTGAACAGCATTCAACATACCAGAATCATTTGAGAAATTTTCATAACGGCCCATTCAAGGATCACTCCTGTAAAGTTCCATCAAAATCTACCTAATAGTTAAAGAGGAGATGTCAATTAAAGGTTTGTTTTTTTCTATATGAGCAATTTTTATAGAAAACTATCCAAGGATCATTTATTTAGAGTTTCATCATAATTTACCTTATAAAAACTGAGCAGATTTCGTTTTAAGTTTTCTTCAATTTTTAGCAATTTTAGTAAAGCCCGTCTCCCAAAGAACACACGGCTTATACGGTTAGCCACCCGTGTAAACCGTTCATACAACCGAACCAACTATGAGTTTATCTAAGTTACACTCAGGCCACTTGAGTGTATCCGTGTAAGCCGTGTATGATTTTTAAAACTGGTTCGGATGTAATGTCCGTGTATGATCATATAAATGCCCGTACAAGACTGTAAAAGACCGTGTGAGACCGTATGAGACCGTTTATACAACCGTATTTGAAGTCCACTCCACAAGTGAGCCCAACCGAGCCAAGATCGTATATAAATCATATGAAATTGTTCGAGACCGTCCCCAAGTCCTATATTCAACACCTGCTTAACACCAAAATGTCACATGATCACAAAACGATTCACACTAGTGCACACACGATTTCATATGATCGCCATTCAACCAATATGGTTCAAGTATGAATCATAGCAGACACAGTATAGTACGGGTATACAGTTTCACTCAGCCTCGTAAGGTCTTACACTGCCTCTACGTCAGCACGAACTGTACAACGAAAACCACAACTACTTGCTGCCATCCTCAACTGCTAGATCTACCCAGAGTACTTGCTGCTTCATACAAGAATGCATCCAAAGAAGACGGTTCCCTCACACAGAAGGAATACAAGAATCCACCAATTTCTATCAGTCTTATCATGATTTCTAATTCCCTTATCCTGTCATTGATCTGTTGCATCTGGCTCTGATTTATATAACTATTATTCACATATATAGGTGTTCTTTGTTGAAAAGTCCAAAATTTATGAGACCAAGCCATCAGGCTCGGTCAATTCATATCAACACATACACGAATATGTGACAATTTGAGCATAACTCAAACAAAAGTCGGCAGGACCCTATGT